TGATTATTGTGGCTCTGTAGTAAAGCTTGAAGTTGGAGAGCATAATCCCCCTGGCTTTATTCTTCCTTCTCAGGATTGCTTTGGCTATTTGGGGTCTTTTGCGGTTCCATATGAATTTTAGAGCTATTTGTTCTAGTTCGTTGAAGAATGCTGTTGGAATTTTTTGATAGGGATTGCATTGAATTTGTAGATCGCTTTAGGCAGGATGGTCATTTTGAAATTACTAATTCTTCCTATCCAGGAGCACTGGATGTATTTCCATTTATTGGTGTCTTCTTCAATTTCTCTCATGAGTGTCTTGCCTGCTGGGAGGAAAGAGTTCTTTCCTGCTTCCCGGATACAGTGTCTGCTTCCACTGCCGGGGCCAGTGGGCCAAGAGCACAGGGAGGAGCCTCTGTGCTATGTTCCTGTAGCTGCCGAGGCAGAGCTGCCCTTCAGGCTGGCCTGGCATTATTGTGAGAGGAACAGGTGAGCAGACAGGTGCCTGCCAAGAGGAAGGAGTGGCAGGCTGAGTATCGTGGTGGGGGGCCTTGGTACTGCATTGCCAGCCAGGGGGATGGAGTACCTGAAGCTCCTGAATGTTCCCTACCTTCTGGGCTGAGTGTGCTGGGAGGATTGTGCCCACTTGTCCTTCCTCCCGAGCAGCAAGCTCTCTTCCTTGGCCCTTTAGCAGCCCTCTCACTGTTGAGAAGTCTTTCAAAGTGCCTGCCATTCTTTTGTCCTCAAGCAGCTGGTTGTGGGTACCTGTTCTCTGCAAGCAGCTGGAATGTCAGTCTCTCCAGGTACTCTGTCTGTCTTTGCTTTCCGACCTCTCTAATCTCTAGAGCACCATGTAATGTGGGCTCATGCTCCTAGAGCAGATCTCCAGGGGTGAGTGTTTAGCTGTCCTGGGCTTCTATTCTCTCCCTGCTCTGTTTCTCTTCCTCCTGTCTGTGAGCTGGGGTGGAGGGAGGGCTTGGGTCCAGAACAAGGCTTTGCTACTTAACCCTTTTCTGTGACGTTTTCTCCAGATGTAGGCAGTCTATCACAGACTTCTTTCAGGTCACTCTTTCAGGAATAGTTGTATTTGCTGTATTTTCATGTTATATGTGGTTTTGGAAGGAGGTTTCTGCTTCACTTCTCATGCTGCCATCTTTTCCCCTCTGTATGTCTGTTTTTATGTCAATATTACATTCTTGATTATTGTAGCTTTGTAGTAAGTTTTAAAACCAAGAACTTTATATTAAGCTTTAAAACTACCAACTTCATTCTTTTCCAAGACTGTTTTGACTATTCTGGGCCCCTTGCATTTCCATGTGAATTTAATAGTCAGTTTGTCAATTTCTGCAAAGAAGCCATATGGAATGTTGATAGGGACTGTGTTGAATTACTAGATCTTAAGTCAAATCAAGTCTCTCCTTTGCCTTAAAATCTCCAACATCTCTGCATCTCATACAGAGTACAAGTCCAAGTTCTTAAAATGGCCCAGTTAAGATCCTCAACAGTGTAGTTCCCTAATAACTCTCTCATCATTTCTTGCTATTCTCCCTCTTGCTCTTTCTTAAACTCACCCAGTATTATTCTGCTCCAGTGCCCTTATACTTGTTAAATTCACTTCCCCCAGATGTCTACCTGATTTAGTCCTCATAATACTTTACTCATAGCATCTCTGCAGTAAGGCTTTCCCTAACCACTCTATGTAAAACTGCATACACACACACATTCTCTCCACCTCCCCTTCATTATTTATCCTCCAAAGCAATTATCACTCTGTAATTTAAATGTTTATTTTGTTTAATGTCTGTATATCCTAACACTAGGAAGTAAGCTCTTGCAGGCAATTGTTTTTTGTTAATTCTGTTCAATCCTGCATTGCTATTACTAAATAAAATAATAATAATTGGTATTTAATTTACCAAAACTAAATACCAATACTGAAATACTACCTAGCATAAAGTAAGCACACATAAATTTCTGCTGGATGAATGAAAGATTAAGCTAGGGAAAAAGAACAAGAAAGCAGTAATTACAGAATTCTAAAAAAAAACAGAAACACTAATTATTAAAAGTTTAACCCCATTAATAAAACTGAATTAAAAGAGAATATTATATTGCCTTTTAAGTAAAAAATAATTTAAAAAATAATAATAGCCAGTGTTGGCAAAGCTATAATAAAATAGGAATTCTCATACATTTTGATGAATATAAAATGGTATAAACTTTTTGGAAAACAAACTAGCACTATGTATTATGAACTTCTAGACTTTATCATAAAAAATAGTCACAGATTTACATAAATCTCTATATAGAGATACTCAAAATAAGTAATATTTTATAACCAAAAACTCAAAAGCTAAACATTTAATGAGAAAGAAATGATAACTTCTGATGATAATAAGTATAGTTTACTAAAATCATGATTTTACTTGATTTTTAAAACAGTGAGTAGTTACCTATTTTTGCAAACAAGAAAACAAAAGGCAAAAAAGTAAGTATCAGTATTAAGGCTCTTAAGTAGCAAAACCTTGAGTTTTAACAAACCTAGTTTCAGATCCTATCTCTTCAATTTGTAGATGGAATTTTATACAGCCATTAAAGACTATATTTTGGACATTTAGAGTTCTTTCAAGACAATGTTAGAAAAGGAAGGCACAATACTAAATGTAATTTATACAGGCACTAAATGGGACTAGATTAAATTAGCCTGGAATATTAGACTGTAAAGGAAGTCTCTCAGCAATGAGATTATATGTAACTTTATTTTTAATATACTACTTTTGCATTTTCCAAATAACCTATAATATAGACATTTTTTCACAATTAGAACAAAACAAAAACCACTACTAGCAATTAAACTGAATTTTGGACTTGCATCTATACTTCCTCCAGCTTGCAAACTATATTATCTCTTAAACCTTTTTTTCTCATTGTGTCTACTTACATGGTAAAAGACCTAAACATATAGGCAGTTTGAGTGTCTAAACAATATTTAATGTAGGGAAGAAACCCTTGGATATAAAAACATGTAGCTGACACTACCTCCCAATTACCAGTTTTACTTTGTATATCCAGTATTTCAATCCATTTATTCACTTATGTAATGTTCATGTTTAATTCTTTTATCACCGGATATTATGTAATTTCCTTTTTCCATGAAGACAGCCTTATTAATACAATAGTTTAAACAAGTTTGTGTAGCTTCTCCACATTCATACCTGACCTAAACAGAGAATGTATTCTAAAAGGATATAGGAAGTAAGGATGGGTAAATAAGGTTTGATACATTATGGAGAAAGAAAAAGGACTGGATCAAACAGAGCTAAAATCAAATAATAAAAATTTTTATTAATAGTGATACCATGAATATATAAATTTCATATATACACATTTTCCAAGCTCTTTTACCCTGATTATTCACTTTTAACCTGGTAAAGAACCTTACCGATACAACTTGCTCACTGATTATCATCAAAATATTCCAGCATGCATGGTAAGCCGTGGACTTATCAACTCTATAGTGTTTTTTTTTTTAACAAATAAGGATGTATGTTCTTTTAACCATTAAAAAAAATTTAGGGTAAATGTTAAATCTATAAATAATAGAATGAACACAAAGTCTAAACAGTGGAAAGGCAGTGGTCAATACTCTCATTAGAAGTGGATATACCAATAAACCCAGCTCCAAAAAAACCTTCCTAATGAAAAGTATATCATCAACACAACACTCAAAAAATTTCCCATGTCATTTTATGAATAAATCTGCTATATATATATATTATAAGGACAAGTAGTTTAAAATAACTTCATGGAGAAATATCCAGAATATAATAAATTCCTGAAACAAATAAAGGTATTTGATTTAATAGTCACTATCAGCCATGTAGTAAAAACAGGCCTAGGAAAATTGATACTAACAATCAAATATATTAGTAATACTTCAGCTCTTTAAAACCATCAAAAAAGGAACAAAGCAAAAAAACATCTCTCTATAAAGAATATGTAGGGAAGTTATAACTCAAAAAAAATGACCCCACAATATCAGAAAACATCTTTCTCAGAAATAAATGCTATCAAGAACCAATACAAACAATACCAGAGATTAAGTACCTACAAGATGATTTTAAGTGTACTGCTGTGATAATGGTAAGGTAGATACTAAATCTCGTCAAGATACCGAAGGGTGTGTCATTAAAAAAAATGGTATTTATAGAAAATGAAACCAAACTAAGGTAACCAATAATCTTAAAAATATCTGTCTGTCATAAGAACCATTATAACTGATAACTGAAGACATCCTAAATATTGATGGATAAGAGTAGAGTTAAATAAATTATGACAAAAATTACTCTTTGGAATATTAAGCAGCTATTAAACAGTTTAAGGCAGAATGTAAAAACCAGATGTGGGTGGAGACCAGAAAGACCTCCAAGACATATTCTTAAGCAGAAAAGCCAGTTGCTAAACAAATATACAGCTTTTGGCCAAAAGAATGGCAAGAAGGCATTTCTCTAAAATTCTTCAACACTTTCTATAGTCCTTCATTACTTACTGACAGTACTGATCTTGCTGAGTTATTTTAGACATTCAAATTGTTGGTTTTACTGACGTATTTTCATCTGTATATGCATATTTCCCCCAATTAGTCATGTTCCTTCAGAACATGGATTATGACATACACTCCAATCTGGCATTTATCATAGTCCCAAACATACAACAGATGCAATAATATTTGTAGATGGCTAACAATATGTACCATATGAAGGAGCAAGAAGCTGCATTTTAGAAGCATAGAAACTAAAACACATTAAATGAGAAAACCAGGAACACAATACAGTTCTTCAGACTTCAGGGTCAACATGGTTTATGCAACCACATATTCTTTGAGAAGTTCTAGTAACAAAACCTGTTACAGTCCCCTCTCAAGAAAGATTTTTTTTTAATCACTCAAATATGTAAATAAAAGCTTGAAAAACTCCTGTGTGAAATATTCATACTCTATGACTTTAATAATGCTTACTTACCATGTGTCTAAAATTGATGCTATCAACCTGCTTAACAAGGCCACAGATATCTGCACAGTCTACAGCTCTTGGTTATCCAGCATGTCTTCTTACTATTAAAAAAATATAAATTACATACTATACATATAAAATAAAAGCAAAGTCATATCAAACTATAATTCTAAATAAAACCAAAATCTAAAATATATAAATATATATGATATTTGAAAGAAATCACAGAAGAAACAGAAAAAGAAAAAAGACTGACTTCATTTGGCACCATTGGAGGTGACTGCTGCCCTCTGGAAATCGTTATACAAAGGGTAAGAACTAAACATTTACTCTGCCTTTTAAGTAAGACATTATTTCATGGTAAAAAAACAATAGCCCTACATCTTACTACACTCATGGACAGTGACTTCAATGGGGTATGGGGGGGACTTGATAGTATGGGTGAATGTAGTAACTACAATGTTTTTCATGTGAAACCTTCATAAGAGTGTATATCAATGATAGCTTAATAAAAAATAAGTAAGTCCACCTCAAAAAAAAACAGCCCTAATTGCTTAGGGAAACAAACCTATTTTTTTTAATAGAAGTATAGTAGACATATAGTATTACATTAGTTTCAGGTGTACAACATAGTGATTCCACAATTATGTAATTATGAAATGCTCACCACAATAAGGGTAGTTACCAGTTATCACCATACTAAGTTATTACATATTATTGACTATATTCCCTATGCTGTACAAATTGTCCCTGTGACTTATTTTATAACTGGAAGTCTATGCCTCTTTATTCCCTTCACCTATTTTACCTGTCCCTCCACCCCATTCCCCTTCGGCAACACTTCAACAGTCCACTGGTTTGTTCCCAGTATTTATGAGTCTATTTCTATAGTTTTGTTTTTTAGATTCCACATGTAAGTGAAATTATAAAGTATGTGCCTTTCTCTGTCTTATTTCAGCTAGCAAAATACCCTTTAGGTCCATCCATGTTGTCACAAATGGCAAGACTTCATTCCTTTTTATGACTAAGTAATATTTCATTGTATTTATATACCACACCTTCTTTATCTATTCATCTATCAGTGGACACTCAGGTTGTTTCCATATCTTGGCTATTGTAAATGCTGCTGCAATAAACATGGAGATGCATATATCTTTTTGAATTACTGTTTTTGTTTTCTTCGGGTAAATACATGGAAGTGACTAGGGTATATGATATTTCAGTTTTTAATTTCTTGAGGGACCATCATACTGTTTTCCATAATAGCTGTACCAACTTACATTCCTACCAATAGAGCATTAGGCTTCCATTTTCTCCATATCCTTGCTTAGTAGTATAGTTTGAAATCAGGGAATGTGATACCTCCAGCTTTGTTCTTTTTCAAAATTGTTCAGGGTCTTTGTGGTTCCATATGAATTTTAGGATTCTTTGTTCTAATTCTGTGAAAAATGCCATTGCTATTCTGATGGTAACTGCACTGAATCTGTAGATTGCTTTGGGCAGTATGGACATTTTAACAACATTAATTTTTCCAATTTAACTTTCCATTTATTTGTGTTGTATTCAATTTCTTTCATCAATGTCTTATAATTTTTAGAGTACAGGTCTTTAATCTTCTTGGTTAAACTTATTCCTAGGTACTTTTTCTTTTTGATGCAATTATAAATGGTATTGTTTTCTTATTTCTCTCTGCATGTTTGTTATTAGTATTATAGAATCACAACAGATTTCTGTATTTTGATTTTGTATTCTGATTCTTTACCAAATTCACGTATTAGTTCCAGTAGTTTTTTGGTGGAGTCTTTAAGGTTTTCTATGTACAGTATCACGTCATCTACAAATAGTGACAATTTCACTTCTTTCTTACCAATCTCAGTGTCCTTTCTTTTTTTTGTCTGATTGTTATGTCTAGGACCTCCAGTACTATGTTGAATAAAGTGGTAAGAGTGGACATCCTTCTCTTGTTCCTGATATTCAAGGAAAAGCTTGTAGCTTTTCACCAGTGAGCATGATGTTAGCCATGTGTTTTGTTATATACGGCCACTATTATGTCAAGGTATGTTCCCTCTATAGCCACTTTGTGGAAAGAGGGAAACCTCTCCTTTATAGAAGAAAACAGTGTAAAAGAACAATAGAATCCAAAACTACCTACCATTTTGCAACCCGTAATTAAATAACAGATCAAGAATCATCAGCAATCTTCAATGAAGGCTAAAATCATTAGGTGAAAGGCTGATAAGAGATTTACCTGGTGCCAAAGTACCATGGCACAGATTGCTTGCTAATTGCAAAAAGAAAAACATAACTTTACAATAAAATGATCTGGCTGTCACCACCTTAGGCTGGTGATCAAATACAACATCAAAATGAAGAGACAACTAAACATTACATGCCTTTTAATGTACAACAATGAGTGAACAGCATTTCTAAATGAACTATTCTTGCAAAAATGTTTAGCCTGAATCTGAAACACCTTTAGATCTAACTCCCAGTTTACATGAAATATAGGAGACAGAGGTAGGAGTTATACTACACCATGAGGAAATAATCAGCAATACAAACTGGCATTCTCAAATGAGCTAACAAGTGTACCATGGAGTGGAAGGAGGATGGTAAAGGCAGGTGGGTAGGTAAGGTTTATTTAAAAATAAACCTCAGAAGAGAGCAACCAAATTCAAAGGGTAGAAATTAGTTGGGTTTGAATATTAGAAAAAGCAATGAAGCAATGAAAGGTTGTTAGAACCATTTGAGAAATATGAATATGGTGTGTTTAATATATTAGCGAATCAAGGATAATTTTGCTAAAAATGATGATAATGGTTTTGTGGTTCGATAAGAGATACATGCTAAAGGGAATATGTCTTGTTACAACTTTTTTGAAAGAGCAAATTTCAAGTTAAATCCTTAAATGAAATTTTATCTAAGTGCAAAATATATACATTTATAACACAAATGCATAGTATTAAAAAAATCTCATTTGTCCCCATTAACCATTAATTTACTTTTAAATGGCTCAGGAAATTTATACAAACACATAAATATACATATATGTATAATGAATGTGGCAACATTATTACCAACTATTGAATCAGGAGGTATGAATATATTAAGTCAATGTACTATTCTAATTTTCTATATATCTAAGTATTTTGCTAATGAAAATTTTGAAAACATTATGCTTCAAGTAAACTGGTTTACCTCTACAAGGTAAAAAGCCATTTTTTAATTCAAATACAAATTCTTAATTTGAACTTCTGATTCAAATATGCCAAATTTTTATAAGGAAGGGTACACTCCATATTTTAAAGGTCATACCTGGTTACCTGTCCATATGTGTTCTGAGAAGAAGAAGAAAAATTCAATCGTGGTGCAAGTAAAGGGAAAGAAGATAAAAAGAAATTTCTTAAAGGATAAAAATTAAGAAAAGGAACTTGAATAGCCAAACAAGCTTGAGAAAGAAATACAAAGCTAGAGGCTTCACATCTTGAATTCAAAATGTAAAATTATAGTATAAAAACAGTATGGTATTGGCATAAAGACAAACACAAGACCAATGGAACAGAATATAGAGCCCAGAAATAAATTCTCATATATGGAGTCAAATAATCTTTGACAAGGATACCAAGGGTACACATGGGGAGAGGACTGTCTTTTCAACAAATGGTGCTGGGAAAACTAGATAAACATATGCAAAGGAATGAAGTTGGGCCCTTACTTTACACCTTATACAAAAATTAACTCAAAATAGGTTAAAGAGCTAAACATAAGCCCTGAAACTATAAAACTACTAAGAAAACATAGAGGGAAAGCTTCATGACATTGCATTTGGCAATGACTTCTTGGATCTGGCACCAAAACCACAGGAAACAAAAGTAAAAGTAAATAGGACTACATCAAACTTAAAAATTTGTGCATCTGAGGAAACAAACAATAGCATGAAAAGGAGACTGGCAGAATAGGAAAGAATACTTGCAAACCATCTCACTTTGGGTTAATGCCCAGAATACATAAAGAACTACAATTCAACAACAAAAAATAGTAACTCAATTTTTAAAATGGGCAAAGGACGTGAATAAACATTTCCCCAATACAAATGGCCAACAAGTATATGAAAAGATGCTCAACATCACTAGTATCATGGAAATACAAATCAAAATCACAATGAGCTATCACCTGATACCTATTAGGATAGCCACTATCAAAAAAAAAAAAGTTTTGGCAAGGATGTGGAGAAATTGGAAATCTTGTGTACCATTGGTAGGAATGTAAAATGGAGCAGCCACTATGGGAAACAAAGATTCCTCAAAAAAGTAATAAATAGAATAATATTAATCCAGCAATCCCACTTTTGCGTATATATCCAAAAGAACTGAAAACAGGATTCGAAGAGGTATTGTACACCCATGTTCACTGCAGCCTTATTCACAATACCAAGAGGTGGAATGTCCACACAACCTACATGTTCATTGACAGAAGACTTGACAAAAGAAAATGTGTATGTGTGGGTGGGGGGTGGGGGGTGGCAGTACACATGCATGCACACACATGCACACACACACACACACACACACAAAATTAAATACTACACAGCCTTAGAAAAGAGAAAATCCTTTCATATGCTACAACATGGATGAACCTTGAGGACATTATGCTGAGTAAATTAGGTCAGCCACAAAAAGACAAATACTGTATGATTCCACTTATATGAGGTATCTAAAGCAGTCAAGCCCTTAAAAACAGAAAGTAGGATGATGGTTGCCAGGGGCTAGAAGGGAGGCAGAGTGGGGAAGCTGTTCAATGGGTAGAGTAGATTCAGCTTTTCAAGATGAAAAAGTTCTACAGATCTGTTGTGTTAATGATATACATATAGTCAACACTACTGATTTCTTTTTTTTTGCTCACTCTTTCAATATCATTGCTGATACGGGCTCTGTCCCCAATCTTCTGCTCTGCCACCTTTTTTCTAGGTCCATCGAAACTCATGGCTTCAGTACCTGTAGCTGTGACTCTAGACAATAATTCTCTCCCAAACGCCAATATTATTAACTGCCTAACAAACATATACACTTGGTATAAAAATCAAATGAATAATTGTATCTGA